GAGAGAGAGAGAGAGAAAGAGAGGAGATAACGTTAGATCGTATCGTATCTCGCATCGCTTTTGTTTCGACCCGAGCGCATCGATGAGGCCGAGGGCGCAATAATGCGCGCAGTGAGGCGCATTTACGGCATGGTCTCCGCGCTTCCATTATTCCCGGTTCATCGCGTTAAGATAATTAAGGTACTCGAATCTTGCTCGATCGTATTGTATCCGCGCCGAGAACTTAATCGCGGCGCACAATTGCCGAGGATTTTTACCCCCTGACCCCTTGGCTCCGCGAGTTACTTTCCGTCGTTTCCGCGCACGTTCGTAGCCCCTCTTCTTACGCTGAATTAAGACCATCGTCGGGCTATAGACCGCCGTGCTTTCCGGGTTACTCTTATTCCGGTTGTTATCTTTTGTTCGGGGCGAGAGAGGAAGGAGAGGAAAGATTTGAGGATGGACGGGAAGAGCCGGAACGGGCGTGCGCCGGGGGATTTATCATGGGGCAACGGCGCACCGGCCACGGTATTAAATTAAGTTATGCCCATCTTAGAATTTTTTATTATCACCGAGAACGGCGAGTCGGCGAGCACATTTCCCCGGCCTGTCCTCCCCACGGCCCGTTTTTATTTCCTCCTCCTTGGTTCTCGCACTGGTCGGCGGCCACGGACGAGCTAGCTCGCTCGCTCGTTCGCGCGCATATTTCTGCATTAAGTTCTCGACACTCACTTTACTGTCGTCCGACTTTATTTGCAATTTTAAACGGCGTTCGATTTATGAGTAAAGTTCCCGTACGGGCGAAGACGCGAGCGGTCGCCACTGCGCAGCCTAATAAATATTTTCCACGCGGCATTTATCGGGTATTCCGAGCGTAACCCCAAACTCAAATTACGCGGTTAATGTGTAATTGTTTCGCGTTCGCCGCGGCTCTAATGACACCGGCACTAATGGCCGGTTTATTACTAAACCATAACACCGACCATCGCCGCATATGAAGTCGTATCGCACGAATCGTCTCGATCTCGCGTGTATCGTTCGACTCGTCCACCGCGAGTGTTTTTAAATTGTTTTCGACAGTGGATGGAAAGCTATTCCCAGGCTACTGTCTAAATATATTCGCTAGGTTTATTTACGTCGCTTTATTTATCACGCCAAATTCGATTCGTCGTTCAACATATTTCCCGCATTCACGTTTCTACCCGCGAGAACGAGTCTTCCCATTTGGATTATATCGGAAAATCGAGACGCGCGTCAAGCTGCTCTTGGCGCGAGATCAGCTTCGAGAGAGAACCGTCTTTATTTACCGCGCACTCGTCGAAAGATCACGTTTGAAGAATTCCACCTACAGCGGCTTATGCAAAAGAGTCGCGTGCGGGTCTGACACATTTGCAAATGCGCATCCATCGCGGAAGTGAGTCAGTATGCTGGTTGAGAGGGCAACGACGGAAATGACGAGGGAAGAGAAGGAGAGAGCGAGTGGGGTCGCGTCGAAGATACGGCTGGCGGTAAAAGGACAATGCGAAATAAAGGCACGAAGGTGGTGAATTACTTCCGCGGCGTTGTCGTAAACAATTACTACGAATAATTAATTGCCGGCGCGACGGGCCAAGCGAATTTAGCCCCCATCGAGACCCTCGAGCAAACGGGAGACTACGATACGTGAAATTTTTCGCGAAAAGAATTTCAGCTAGACCGCTTTTAATTACTTCCGTGTATTCGAGCCTTCTGAAATATCGAGAGACATTCCGCTTGCATCGCGAAAGCGGCGTCAACGCCGAAACAATATGTCACCCTCGCCCGTTCACAGTTATTCCTACGTCATCATGAAATTACGCGAGCGGTGTTTCAGTAAGCCCGACTGCTTGGCACACACGTGGACGGATTACACACTGGCATTTCATGTACGTAGACGCGTCACGACACTTACCTGTTGAAAAAACGACCGGTCCCACCGTCTCCTACACGTAGACTCCCAGGGGTCTCTTGAGTTCCGCGACTGGACGACGGAGAGTGGTCCGGCGCGCGAAAGAAAGGGAGGAGAGGCCCGGTATTTCTCACAGCAAGAAGGCGCAAGCGTGGTCGTATCGATAATTCCTTTCTCTATCACACTCCTCGATCGCTATTCATCTTTCTCCCTATCTTTCCTCCTCCCGAGCTTTTTCTCCACGACCTATCTCCCTTCCATCGGCTTGTCATCTTTCTTTGCGCGAGAGACGTCAGCGGCACCCTCGTGACGAGCCGTCCCTGGGAGTACCACGCGGACAAACATCAAGGCAGAAACTGCGATACGTCGGCCGGAGTACGGCAGCTCACCCCGGACATCCCCTTACGCGGGAGACGCATGCGTCGCTTTTAAACCAACGCCGAAACCATCCCCCTACCAGACTCACGCGGCTATCTTCCTCCCTTTCTCCCGGGACCGAATTCGCTCCCCCGTTTCTCACTCTCGCGTCTCTGTAACACTGCCGCTAACGATTCGCGGGAAATATGAATTCCGCCGCACACACCGGTAGATAGAGCGGTTATTTATAGCGCGCGTACTTCTTGGGGAGATATCATTCTCCGAGAATGTCGTCGGCACGGGCTGGATATTGAAAAATCTCCAAGTCGGCCGACGTTACGTACCTCGAGATGCGTAAACTCGCTCGTAACTCGCGGCTTTAGTCCGGCCAGAGGGGAGGAAAAGAAGGGTGGCGAGAAAACGGCGAGAGAGCACCTCCCGATCGTCGTAAAGTCTGGTCTGGCGCGAATTCGTACATGTACGTACGGCGATCCCGAGACGGGTGCTGCGCCTGCGTCAGGAATGTCGGGCGAGCGGGAAGAGGGGGGTGTCGTCGGGGGGCATGGGGGTGAGTCAGTCAGGCCGCAGCGCGCGTTCAGAAAACTACCCTTAACGCAGGGTCTCATACGCGCTCGTCGGAGTAATTTATAATTGAGTCGCGCGAGTACGCGATAGGAATCCGACGCCGGTGTTTGCCGAGTCCCGGGCTAGCCACCCCTCGCGAAACGGAACGGCACGTCTCGGAAGAGAACACACGTCGTGCGGTGGATCGTCAGGGTGCGTCGCCGTTGAAGATTCACGTGGGTGCCGGCCGAGGGATAATCGGAGCACACTCACAGGAATGGGAAGGACCGAGGCGAATTTCACTAATTGGATCAAACTCGTCGAGGTGGTTGAACGACACCAGAGAGAGAGAGAAAGAGTAGCGGCAGCAGCGTGAAAACAGTACGTCGACGGACGTGCCGATGCAGACACCGCGGAAAATATACTCGCAGGGGCCGGACTGTGAGAACGTAACGTTGCGTGCTGCGGGAGAGGTACGGCGGAGCAGGATTCGAAAAAGCCCGTAGTCGCGCGAGTGCAATGTACCGGGCTGTGTGAAACCGCCCGTGGAAATACCAACACGCGAGCCACCGCTATTAATCGTGCCCGTGTCTCGTTTCTTTCTCGCGAAACTACTTCGCCAGCAGACTCCGCCGACCGATCGCTAAACAGCGAACCCCCTCGAGCTTTTATTACATCGCGACTCGCCATTGTTCCGCAGCAGAGGCACGCCGCGGTTCTTATCAAAAACTGGCTGTTTCGGATTTTCCGCTGCAGCCAAGTTACACCGGTTCTCCCCTTGGCAGCGAATCAAAGGGAAAGGGGATATAGCTCGAAGGTCGGGTGCGTCGGGCGGAAAATGAAAAGTCTACTCGCTCGGTGGAAGCCGTGGGAAAGCAGAGAGGGACAATTACAGCCAGTTACCTGGAGGATGTAACGCGAGCCAGAACCGTGGCCAGCGCCGGGTCCAGAGTGAACGTCTCGCGCGGCAAAGCTCGTCGCGGTGGCTTTGTCGTGAGAGCTTACGGTTTGGAGCGTGGTACGCGCGGAAATATGGGATGGTCGTGGAATCACAGGAAGAAAGAGTCGAGATAATCGCAACGAGACTGAGCGCGCTCAAGTATGTGGGATTTCTGAGAGTCGACAGAGGTAGGCGAGAGTGTCGGTTAAGGCGGCAGATAATCCATTAGACCCATCGAGATCGCGGAGCCTGAATTACAGCCAGGGCGCCGTGTATAGCTTATTAGTGCCTGTCGTCGAGAGTAGAGAGAGAGAAGAGAAACGACGATCCGCGGTGACTCGGCAAAACGGAAGAAACGGCAGGAAGATCGTGCGCGCAGGCAGGAGGGAAGGGAAAATAAAGGAAAAATATCTTCTACCTCCTGGGAAATACATCCGCCTTTCGGGGGGCCAGCCCGAAGAGTGACATCCTTTCCAAAATTGATCCCACCATTACGCCAGCTGGCAAACGAGCGGACGCCGGGAGAATGTAAATAGCAGGTGCCCGCGCGAATTGTCGAGCGGCAACGACGATTCCGGCATTATTACGATGTCAGCGGCCGGCTACGAGAGAAACGCGCGCTTCTTTTTTCCCTAACGCCGACGTTGACTATCCACCGCTTCGATATATCCGCGGAATATTTTACCGCACGCGCGCGCGAGCCGGAGAAAGAAAGCGAGAAAAGAGAGAGAGAGAGAGAGAAGGAGCGGTAAATGGCGTGTGTCGATACTTTTCCTCGACGGCCGCTGAATAGGCGCGTCGCTCCATCGTTTTGTACAGTTATAACGCGAACGCACCAGAAACGACAAGTATTTTTTTACGTGTAGCTCAAACTCCTCATTGCATTTCCTCGTTCCTTCCTTCCTTACCGCTCAATCAGAGAACACGGCGTGTCAGCCATCCCCCAAACCGTCTGCACGTACTGCTCGAGAACTCAACGTGTCCGATTTTTTTCGTGACTATCCCCGAGAATTACCTCGTCTTCGCGACGATTGTGTGTGTGTGTGTGTGTGTGTGCGACGAGGGAGAGGAGTCTCGCCGACTTTTATCCCGCGGTGCCACGCCTGCGACAACGTTTTCGCGAAGAAACGAAGACGCGTGTCATCGCCGTCGTCTTCTTCGTCCCGCTTCTCTTCGCCCTCCCTCCGAGTGAAGGTGGTATGTTTTTGACGAAGGTGGTTTGTCTTTTCATAGGTGGCACGCTGCAACGGTGGTGTTAAGTGTGCAGTGATCACGGGTGACCGAGGGAAGACGGGAGAGAAGGTGGTCAATATGACTCCTATCTTCCTCGTCCTGTTGCTGGCGATTGACCCGATTATCGCGCAGAATAGTGGTGAGTAAATCTCAGCGAGAAATGAAATTGCGCTAGTGTTAAAGAAAAAAGAGCGGACGAACAGTTATAGTCGCGGTGGACATTTCGCACGAGGACAATGACCGCGAGGACCGCGTTTCCGCTTCGTAGGACTCTCGAAATCTTTTCCAACGGGTTTTCGAATCTCGCGTTCGCGATCGCGCGTACAAAAGAGCCGAGTCTCGCATGTGTCGCGACGAAACCAGATAGAAAGCTCGATACGCTCGCGAGCCCGAGCTTCGGCCGTACGCGTTATTTAAGCGCGACGAGATAATCCTTTCGCGCACGAACGAACGTCCCGGATCTTTGTAATTTATTACGGTTTACTTATTAGCTATGACGCCGCTGTCGGTCGTACCTTCGTTCGCAAAAAAGACCTTTTCGCGAGACTCGATCTCTTCGTGCGCGCGTAATCGCCCCGCGAGAGAGACACTGTTGGTGTGCGACGTAAAAAATCAGGAAGAGGGTGAGGAACTACAAAAGCGAAAGCGTGCGTAACGTCCTTTTGTGCGAGATATAATGCGCTTCGAGGACTTGCGCGAATTGAAAAAGAAAGAGAGAAGAAGTGATACTACGCAAGAGACAGTGTCGAACGCGCGAGAAAACGAGGAAAGCGCGACTGTCGCTCCCTCTCGAAGAGAGCAATAACGCGTGCTTTGATAATAACGAGCGCGCGCACGCATCATGCTGAATCGCGTGCGGAGAGTGTCAACGTGTCGGCTCGACCGACGCCTTTGTTCGCGATTAATCGCTCGAGGAGCGACGTTATCGAGTTCTCTCCCGTGTTGCAAAGTACGAGGCGTTTCGCGTCGCGAAGCTCGGACTTTCACGGAGGTGGACGTCGCCAGCCAAGTTCGGAGAGACGGATGTGTACTCTACGGACTCTAAGACCGCTTACGTTAAACTCGACCGACGACTTGAGGCGACGCCTCGCGAGCCCGCTTGCGGATTAGAAGTAGTTTCCGCCGCGAAGTATAGTCCCGTTAGTAGTTGCGTACGAACACCATGACTTACTCTCTCGCGTCGACGTTAATAAACGCGAATCCAGGACGATCGCTGGAGAAACTAACGCCGGCCGAGCGATCATTACGCGGCGCGTACTGTCGCCGGTAATCCGGCGAGCTTTACGCTGACTCTGTAATGACGATGATACATCCCCCGGTATTTCAGTCAATTAATTACGTCACGACGTAATCCTAATTCGACCGTCGGAAAGCTCTCGGCGGATTTGGATGCTTTGCGAGTTTCAGCGGTCGGCGATACGATAATGTCGTATCGGCCGCGGTGTGTGAAACCCGGAGCGTTGTTCCCGGATCAGTGCACGGTAAGTAGGTAATGGAAAGTCAGTGCGAGCTCGCTTTTAAAAGTACGTCCGTCCATAATCGAGTTACCGATCTGTGGCGAGTCGGCTGGAAATATCGGCCTCCCTCTCGGAGAAAAGCGAAATACCGTCCAGCCCGCTAACGTAGTGGAACCAGCGTTCCGTTAGTAACAAATGACGAATGAGTTAGCCCGCGATCAGCGCCGAGCGAATCATTTCACCCGGGGATGGAGATGCCGATGCGAATTCAATAGCTCCATTCTCCGCGATTCTCCCCGACCATATTCGGGGAAATTCCACGTGGCTTCTCTTTCCTTCGATTCGCGCGCATCGCTCGACTCGAAATATTGCCGTCAGCGACAGCGAAGGAGGGAGAGCGATGGAAGAGAGAAGAAAGCGAGGAGAGGAGGTGGGTAGAATTCATAGTTAATGCAGATCCGTCCCGTTCTGTCTAACTCGAGGAAAAGGTAACAGCCCGGGTCGACTGCGAAGATTTCCTCGGAGGCTCGCGCTGTCCGTGCGTCGAGTGGAAACGGGGCCGAGGGAGGAAGCGAGCTATCGCGGGTCTTTTTTCCCCGTTTATTTCGTGCCCCGCTCGTCGGAGAATTCGCCGCGTTCCGGTATGTCTTTGTGTTGGTTGCGCGTCGCGCGCTGACTTTGTATTGTGAAAAATGCCACCAGTGGTAGCCCGGTTATCGGCACTCTGGATCCGGCCGGTAATTCGCGGTGACGTAGGCGGCGAATATTTCCAAATCACACGTCACTTCCGGCTCGGTGTGGCGCGTTTCATACGGCGTATGCGCGAGTACCTTTTATAATGCGCATATACACAAATTCGCGCGCGCACGGTCACGCGTGCGTCTCTCCCTCCCTCCCGCAGGTTTCCTCTCTTCTTCTTTGTTCTCGCGTCCTCTCTTCCGCTATCGCTCTCTCGGTCGCGCGCGGTATGTCAACGTCCCGCTTTTCTACGTCACGCTGCAAAATGGATTCTCCAGCACGACAACGAAAAGCGAGCGAGGCGTGCGGTAAATAGATTTTTCGACGCTATAAAGAGAGCATCGAGCCAGTGGCTGACTCGAGAACATCCAGAAAATACTTCCTCGAATTTCCAAATGAAATCACTTAAGTACAATCTTACCTCGAGCGACGGGATATATCCTGTGCTGTCGTCGTGACGGGAGTATATCTTCAAGTTCGAACTCCCGCTTCTCCGTCGTCATTTTCAACTCGACGAGTCTAAATATTCCCGATATATAAATATTTTCCGCGAGGGCGGATATAAAGGTGTAACACGCGGTATATGATCTATTCCGACCGAAGGGCAGCTGTATGTTCAGCAACGTGCGATATGAGGGAGAGCGTATATCACGAACGTAATCACCTATCATGCTTAAGTTATCGATCACTGGGATCTCGGTAAAAACGTACGTAAGAAATGATCTACGGCGAAATCTCGTTCCTCCGACCGGACGCGATGGAAACGGTCGGCTACCGTCGTTGTTTCCCGAAAAATAACCCCGCCGGGTTTTATGAGACATTATGCACGCTGAACGATGGCGCGTGGTATACGTACCCACATTCCCTGCCTTCGTCCTCCGCCCACCCCGTATCGCCCGGCGAACGTCGGTTACCGTGATCATATTTCATCGGCATGTCAAGCGAAGAAAAACTCGTTTCTACCGTAATCATATCTCTCGGCGAATCTGGTTAGACCCGCCGCTATAATACACCACCGCCAGTATTACGATTGAGATAACCGGAGGAATCGCGCGCGCGTCGGAGACCACGCGAAAGGGAAGGAACGCGGCCGATTTTCAAAACTCGCACGGTAAAAATAGAGAGAGGGGGGGAGTAGAGATTTCTCAAACGTCACGCGGCATTCAATAAAACGGAGGTTCACAGCGCGTGGGGAAAAAAAAAATTATACGCAGTATCACTTTTTGCACGCGAAGCGGAATATATATATATATATATATGCAGACGTTCGACGAACCTCCGCAGTTAGACGGATGACGCGGCCGGTTGCTCCACGGGGATCATCGGCCTTTTTTCCGCCGTTTTAGCCCAGGCGAAACGATGCCCTCGCATTTTTGGGCTCGGCGAGGCCGCGCGCCGTTATTTATCGTCCGGCCAGACGTGATAATTTACATTCCAGCCACCCCCGTGCCAGTTTCGGTCCTAACCTGTCGCTCGTGCCGCGCGACCTGTCGCCGTTTTTATCAGTAATTGACAGAGTAGACGCGCGGCATCGGAACCTTTCAAAAAGCCACCGCCCTCACGCCACCTCCCTGCCCGCCAGGTATCGGCCGGCGCCGGTAAAGAACGACGTGGCCGAAACGCGGCCAAAAATCGAGTACGACGCGTAATGACGGGTGACAGCCGCTTGCGCGTGCCGTTAAATTGCTATATTTCGTTTCGTCAGTTTCGCCGGGGGCTTTTTTTGTTTTGTTTCATTTCATCCTTTTTTTCGTATTCGCCGTTGAAGCGTTTCGCTCCTTTGTACATATGGAATAAACGCGGTTCCTAGGGGAACGGAGCGCGTCCGGCTATCGGCGCCCTCATTCGCCGCTTTCCACACCACCGAGCTCGTAGCGCCGGGCAATTTGGAAAACCGAAACCGACCGATTTCCGACGTGGCCTTTTTTTTTTTTTTCCAACGACGAGCTACACTCGACGTGTACGGCTCGTCGCGAATGACGATTGTTGAAAATTCCTCGCCACGTAGACCTCTCGGTCTGCGGCGTACGCTTAATTAGCCGTGGCGCCGCGGACGAAGGCACGAAAGAAGTGGGCCGGACAAGCGGCCGTCGGCCTGGAAACCGAGGGAGTCTAGGTTACTTCGATCGCGCACGTTCGCGTGCTCGACTTACGTGCATACCGCTTATACTTACCTACCTACGTGCATACGTACGTCCGCAACGTATGCAAGCACGTCGAAGTAGCTCGCGGAGAATGGCCGGGTGATAAAGTAAAAAAGTTACTCGAGCCATTTTATGGGGAACTCTCTCGGAGGTTCGGGCGTTGCATCCGACACCCGACTCTTTCTTTCGCGCGCGCGCCACATCTTCCGCTTTTTCTCGCCGCGCTCGATATAGCGTGCACCCTCCCGCTCGCGGGCTTTTACGGTATCGAACGAATGTCGTCGGGATAAGTCCACCCTGACCCGGCGCTCCCCCAGCCGCAAGGCACCGCGCGCGTACAAGAGGGTAACGGCGCGTAGCTTAGCCGCAACATTCTCGGGTTTACACCGGCGGCGTGAACTTACTTGCGGATCTGGGATTAGTCGCCGCGGCCGACGGGGCTTCGTTTGCGGGCTAAACTGATTCTGTCGTATCGCGACGGCAAACTCGAGCGCGATCGAGCCAACTTTTACGGTTTGCCACGATCCCCCTCCACGTGCAGCCTTTCACCGCGCTCGGAATCGATGCACCGCTGGAACAACGCGCCAAGTTGAATGAACGAGTATCGAAGAATTAACGGGTGTTTCGCGGCGAGGCGCGTGTTAATATTAAATGCCAAGATGATACCGTGTTCAACCCCGGATCGCGCACCTAAATAGAGCAGTCGCATGAATAACAAGTGCCCTGCTAGTTTTTAAACCGACACAATTTTCAGAATGAAAGAGGTCGCTTTAGAAAATATTTATTCATATGGAAATGAC